TAAGTACTATTATGAATCAGAAAATTCAACATTATGAGAGCCAGCAACAAAAGATAGACTCTTGAAAAAGTCATGATATGTGGCTGGAATAATTCCATTATGACAGAGACTCATTAAGTCATCATATTTTGCCTTTGTTAAGGGAAGATGGTTGGAATAGAGAGGGCATAGCTCAGCCATACTCTTTCTCTGGCGTCTTCGGGTATTGGTATTAATGGCAATCGTCATAGCATTACTGTTTGCCAAATCGTACCGATATTCAATTTTAAAAGGATCTTCTGCACATACCCGCACTTCTTTTATTTTGTTCCATTTAACTACGTCTCCACTTATATTTTTTGACCAATTACGCCCGTCCAAAAGTTGTTTAAAGTTATAAAAATCGGTGTGCTTCATTTCTATGACGTTATATGATTTTCCATCCTGTTTAGCCCATCTAACCAAGCTAAACCATTCCAGAGGTGTATATATAACTTTATTTTTAGATGATCTTTCTATTAAAGCGTGTACGCTGTCACCCTCTGCTTGGGTATGACCTTTTTCGAGAAAGGTATGTTTTATAGTAATGTTAAGTTTATGAGGAATATACACATAAAACGCAAAAACAATGCGATTACGGTTCTGACCGGCACAATTGTCAGACCAGAATCTGAATTCTTTTGCACCCTGTTCATGCATATTTTGTATAAAATGAGAAAGACAGCTTGATACCTCATTAGAACCACGCTTAGCTTCTCCTTCGTGCCACATATAACAATGTCCCTCTTTATTTGCTAGATCATACAAGGTAAAATTAAAAACCGACAACTTCCGCTTGTAATATAAAATACTCAATTGGCCATGAGGTGCATAAAGAATCTTTTGAAAATCAAAAGTAGCTGCGACGATTTTACCTTGTGAAGATTTGCTGTCATTTTTATCAGATTTCATGATTTGTCGGGATAATTTCTTGTTTGTGACATGATTTTCATAATCTGCAATTTGATGTTCAGTAGGACCGTCAATATTTCTAAAAATGTGACATTGATCGCATTGATCTTTCTTAGGCACGTAAAAACTGAGCTTAAAATTTTCATTTACAATATCTCGATATTGACGTTCGGTTTCAGCTTTCTCTTCATATTGTGTGTTAGCCTGAAGCCACTCAGAGTACATTTCAAATAATTTAAGAAAATTTAAATCTCCATCCAAATATAATTTGTTTGACCTTTGCCTCGTATAATGTGACTCAACCGGCTGCAAGCTCTTGATGTGATCACACACGCTGGTTATTACCGAATCTGTTTTTTTTACGGGATGGTTTGAATGTCTACCTCTTTTATCTGGGACTAGTACTCCCGTTGTCGTATCCATCTTTTCTAGAGCCTTATAAATAACCTGATCACTGACAGACAAAGTACTTAAAAAGTGTTTTTTACATACATCCACATAATATTATCATTGTCAAGACCTACTGGTATTAAGTACTTTAACGTGTACTTACGTCTTGAAACTGTATCTGTATAGACTCTACGTTTATTTTGCTTTTTTACTAAGTTAGCCACATACATTCATTGCTTTTCTCGATCGCCTAAGCTCCAAAAACTCTCAAAAATCTTCTTTCTTTGTTCTTCGCTTAATTTGTCAAAGCACTTCTTGCGGCAGCGACATGGTGGGCCCATCTTTTTGCTTGCTTGTATTTTACCTTTTCTCGAAATATATTCTTTTCCCAAATTACGTAAATACTTTCTTTTATTATCTATCCATTCTTGGTAATGTCTTTTTCTTACATTACCTTTATCTTACCTTGATGGACGACGGTGGCGGTCACTTGTGGTGGGACTATTATTTGAAATATCCGACAGCGGACTATTGTTCATGGTTGTATACGTCGAGCAGCTAGAAATCCATGCTGGTGAGGGTTGAGGTATAATATAGAACGCTGATAAATTTTCTTTTTGTATATAATATGGGCAGAAATCATTATCACAGTCGTAGTCCAAGTGATTGATACTACAAGAGGGGGGAAGGGTGCGGTGTCTCAAGATTTGCAGTATCAGAATCTGTTGCTACTTCTAAGTTGTCAAAGATGTTTCCATCTATTATATTTGCCAACTCTTTCATTTCAGATTCATTAAAACTTATTGGCAATGGTGACTCTGAAACAGTATTAACGTTTTAATTTGATTGCAACCCGCGTATGTCCTGATGCCTACATCGTTTAGGGAAGACATACACCTTTTACCTCTCCAAAATATAAAATGCTTTACCCTGGCTGACTGACTTAACGATCCACCAAAGCACGTCGCACATAGTTGCCTGTGCGACCTGCGTTAGTGAAGCATTAAGTCAATCAGTCAGGGCAAGGTATTTTATAATGTTGCAAGATCCAATTTTAGAAAAGACTTGACATACATCATCGAAAACGAAAAAGGAATAACAAAGTAAAATACAGCATGTCACTATACAACAAAGTTTTGAATAACAACTCCCGAAGTAAAATATGGTATCTATTACATACAACAATATTTTTATTTAAATGTAAACGTAAAATGTTATATGTATTACATACAACATTTTTTATGAACGCTCAACGACGTATACTGTTGTAAGTAACTTATACAACATTTTAGGTTGGTATCACGACAAAAAAAGTAACATTAACCTTATTAATGCTAATAAAATATTACAAAAAGAAACATACCTGTGATATTTCGGAGACTTGAATCACGAAAGCTGTTTAGTTCTATTTCATCTAATGAAACATTGTTATTTTCAATGGGTGTCTCGGAGTTTCTGTTTTGTGTACTCGTATTATTGACCATATCACATATTCTACGTCCTCTTGTTATTATCCTAGTACGATTCATTGTTATAATATATTTGAAGTAATTCAATTACGTATAAAGTTATTTTTGAAAAAACTTAAACGGTTCCTACATCATGCGTGCGGCCGGTTGAAAGTCCGGCGTGGTCTGTTGTATGTATCCAATACGAGACGCGGGCGCGTGATTCTCCTCGCCCTGCACCCCGCGTAAGCTATTGTAAAGGTCTATACAATGCTGTAGTCCGTTCTCGTTTGAAAGTTACAACATTATACATCTGGCAAATCCTTAAAAAACCGTATTTTGGTTTTTTTTCCACTTTGAATGCATTAAATAATACAAATTAGGATAGTTTTTTGTAAAAACGCCAAACGCCATTTTTGTGGCATACAACAACTTACGTGGGAGGTATCGATATGACTAAAAACCGTATGACTGTGTAGAAGTTAATAATAAACGCACAACGTTTAAAATGCTTTGTTGGAGATATATTGCCATTTTGAAATACATATACAAGTACCTATACGAAAAAGAAAGAAATAAACTTATTTCTCGAATTTCGCTTTGCTCACCTACACGTTTCAACATGGGGTCCGCTACAGTTTCCTTCTTATCGTTACGGCATAACATTTGTTTTTGTGCGGCAGTGAGTGCGTGATGATATTATATCACGATCCGGCCCGTTTCAAGTCAACGCAACGTTGTAGCGTTGTGGTTCAAAGGTACTCTATGCGTTGCAAATCGTTACAAGAAATAGTCATAACTGTCTATTTCTTATTATATGTATAGCTCTGTACGTTGCGTTGTGGATCGTTACAAGAAATAGATAGATAGTTATGAGTGTTATGTATAACTATCTATTCGTTATAATGCTCATACTTACTATAATATACTATAATATAATATAAGTACCGGTTGATGGTGGAAACTTGACTATCGATGGATTGTTGCTTCTGTCATATTGTTTATTTTATGGTTTGAAGTAGTTTTCATGCGTAAAAGTGATATGATTTTGTGTATTTAGTGTCTGAGCATGTGAACTATTAGAGAAATCGACAAAACAAGTTATTTTGATCGCTTAGGCGCCTTATGAACTTCAGTGACTGTCGTCATCGACTGTCCGCTGAATTGAGAGCTGTCGTTAATATCGTTGAACTGACGTGCCACATTGAGAAGTTTCAATATGGCACGTCAGCATATTATGAAGAAAAATCTATAAAAACGAAGTTCCCCAATGAAATGAAGACATGGCTTAAATGATGGGCATCCATGTCAAAAATCGTAATAACGACAAGTACTAAGTACCAACTTTGACATAACATAAATAAATTTTTCGTACACATTACTTTGATCAATTTATAATCTATTTTATTTTATAAATCCGCAGAACCATTACTACAATATTTCTTCAGTTCTTTAATCTTATTTTGGGAAAATAATAATATATTTCTTACGAAGACTTATTTCTAACTTATTTAGAAGATGCTAATTTGTTACAAGTATTAAACATCCGCAACGAATTGCAGGCAGGAAAATGGTTGATTCCAAAATGGTGGTCGTTTGTTGTGCTTTCGAGTGATCTCTAATATTTTTATATTTAATGTGAGTAGAATTTAATTTTAGACTAATTATTATTTAATGATATGACTCAGGTTTTTTCTGTTATCTTCGATAATTTTTTACTTTATTGGATAGTGACCTTTTACTCGTGCCAATTCTTACAAAGAAACTTGCTAAGCAACTGAGAGATTCATAAAATAATGTTAACAATGTGGTAAATACATTGAACTATACGATACTTTTTATTTATTTTTGTGTAAATATTGCGCTAAGGCCTTAGGCTTTTTAAATAATGTTTTGGGATGCCTACAAAAAGAATAAAATTAGAAATGAATAAGCGCGGGATAATATTGTATTGAGGTTTGCTTCTAGCGTCATTGGTCATAAATTGTGTACATAATATAATTCATTCGACTGTTTATTAAAATTATCTTTAAAACAATTTAAAATTATGCTATGACATTATAAAAACGTAGAATTGGTACCTGTAATAATTATAAATCTTAAAGTAATTATAACCTATAAATGTTCGCCGGCGAGGACGTGATTTAGTTTAGTAGTTGTTGATATTTATTTTATCAATATTTCAGACGTATGTAGAGGTTTAAGGACACTTATTCCAATAAGATTGGAAAAATGGATGACAGGGGAGAAGCGTCTGATAACCTTAGCATGTTGGAATATCATTCCAATGAAGACGAGGATGGTACAAAGAAAAATAATACAAATGAAGAGGTAGAAAGTACAAGCAATATAAATACAACCGGTGAAATACCGGAAAATGATATAAAAGATATTGAAAGTGAATTAAAAAGTGTAAGTGAAATAAAACATACAAGTGAACTTCAAAATCATGTGGATTGCAACTCTGGTGAAGTACCGGAAAATAGTGATATGCAAGAAAGTGAATCTGGAATTAAAAGAGACATTTTAGCGTCTTTGGGTCTAAATGACCAAAGCAGTACTACTCTCAAAGGTAATTTAAAGTTAATTATAAAATATTAAATAAGAATCATAATTATTATTTTGCCAAGTAATACATGACATTTTTTTCATGTATACTGTAGTAGTGGTGTAGGAATATCCACAACCCTGAATTATTCCATGGGTGTTGTAAAAGGAGACAGAGGGAAACTAAAACAATGTTGGCAGGGTAGCAGCATATTGCTCTTATCAAAAACTGCATTCGTCAACCTGTCTACCGAGAGTAGCGACTATGGCAAAATAAATCCTATAAGGCAATCTATTTTAAAATCACAAATGTATGCGTAGTTTTACCCCTATCAACAAGACTGTTTATCGTGTATGATAAAACATTAAGATTTATATTGTCAATAGATCAGTGTTTATTCTTGCATACATTATCTTAGTTCATCTACAAATTGTTAGACTGCTTTCTGACTTGTAGGTGCGGGATCTGTGAGGTCTGTACTGGAACATTACCATGTTGTAGGGATGCCCAAATTTTTGTTTTAATATGTACGCTCTGACAGCGCGCGACATGTTATACTCCCGTTCGCTCGGGACCTTAATGGCGGGAAAATTTGTAAGTTAGAAAATATTTTGCTATATTGCAAATTTTGCTATATTTTCACTTTGAGACAATATTTATGGATAAAACTTACAGGATTTCTTGTTGAATGTATAAACTATCGAATAAAATTATTTTTGGTTGCTAGAAATTGTAATAAAATACATAAATTACCCTGTATAGCATAGTAGTAGTATATACTTCAATTTTAGTGACAAAATTACTACTAATTTGAATTCTACACTTTTGTTTTTGGAGAAATTTATATGAAAATGTTTGGAAATATGTATATTTTTATGTTTTATGTGTTTCTATTCGTTACTTATACCAAAATATTAAAATATTAAAAAAATAATAATAATATTTTATCTGTATGACATTTCAAACAATATTTCAAAAATAGTTTTGTGTGAATTTGAAATAAATACGTCAAGTTATTTGAAATATGTAAGAAAACTATTTTTACTTACATTTTACACTAAAAATAAATGAGAATTTGAAAAATAACACATTTATGACCCAACCGCCAAAATGGGCCTTCCGAATTTTGAAGTATTTTTGGCAATTTACTTTTCACTTTTTCTACCACGAATTATATATCTACGTGTTTACTATATTACAAAGAATATAAAAAAGTATAATACTTTCGTTTTTAGTCCAGACACAAATATAAAATTCTATAAAAAAGTCGGAGCACCTTCATCAAAGCGACATGTGGAATGCCGAAAGTTCAGAGTGATTTCTTTTTTTTTTTTCTAAGAAACATTGCCAGATTATGGTTTAAAATAAAAGAGCATATCTTTGTCTTTGATACTATTATCTATTGCATAGTGTCTTTGGTTTTGTTTAAAACGAAAAAATAGTTTAAAAAAGTTTTCATAGGGCAGTAATTATGATCTAATTAGTGCTCTTTTGGAGCAGACGTAAGGTAGGTATTGTACGATCTAAAGTGCGCATCTCTTGAAGCAACAGGTTAAATTGGTATTATTTCTACTAGTTTTAACCATCTGTTTACACATTTTACATTGTCCACCTATGTCACATTTAGGGAATGCAATCTCGCGAGATTTTGGACCTAGCCGAGATCTTTTGATTACGAGATTTCCGAGATCTCGCCCAATAGGGTATTTTTATTAAAAACATTCGCTAATACTATTCATTCCGTTTATTGATTTTCAATATATAAGATAAAAATAAAACATACACGTAATTGGCAACACTAATTACAAGTTCTTGTTTAAATTTTATTTTTAAGGTCAATCCGTAATTAATTACCATAAGTTAAATTGAATTACGAGATGATGGTAATTTGTGTCCCTTAGAACAAAAAAGGTCTCTCAGGTTTTGAGGTGCAAAATACACGAAAAGGTAAACCTAAAAGGTAAACGTCTTGAGCCACCATTCTTGAAACCATAATTTCCTTCGAAGTATCTTCGTTGTGGAAATGGTCCGTAATTTTTCGCATTTTATGTACAGTTGATGATTTTGATTGCTAAAGACTACTATCTGACGAAGAAGCTGGTCCGGAAGCTGCTGGCTCTGGCGCCGCTGGCCCGGCAACTGGAGTCCTCATTGAAGTTTCTACATTTTCATCTGAACATCCTCTACCTTGTTTTTCGAATCAATGTTATGTATAGACTTCAAGTGTGTAAGCCTTTTGGAGAACGGTCTTTAGCTTTCAAAATATTCCCACACACCTTGCACTTTGCACTGAGTCCATCATTGGCTCTTAAGCAATATTTCCAAACTTCTAATGAACTTCCGTATTCACTGTACACTGTTTTTGAGTTTGTCGACATAGTTCAATGCCAAATTACATTAAATGTTACACTAAAATATCACAAAAATCCCTTAAATTCAACAAAAACTAGATAATTACGTAAACAAACGCACGCGTGCCGGCAAAGCGATGACAGTGAGTGAGCCGGGCCTCGTCCCGCGCGAGTAGTGCCTACAGCATGAGTAGAACAGCAACCGCGCTACGATATACACACCGATTTCGCTGCGCCGTTCAATCTCGCAATCTCGCGAGATCTCGTACAAAAATTGAACGAGACTCAGTCTCGCAAAATATAGACGAGATCTGAAACGATATTGCATTCCCTAGTCACATTTAATTAAAAAAAGTCCAAGCGTTTGATTTGGTTGGCGGAGTCAAATTAAAAAGTATTTTGAAATAATAGTTTACGCTCACAGAACAGCTCCACTTTTCGTATCGCTTTAATACAAAGAATGGAACATCATAGAACTCTAACATAGGTACCCGATAGTAAAATAAACAAAATATTATCATACCTACCTTCATATTTCATACATTACCTTTTTGATGTAACTCGAGGTACTCTCATTCAAGGTGTAGGTTAGACAAAAATCGGTTTGTACGTTAGTATGTTATGGTTCGGTTGATAAAACCTAATTTTAGTAGATTCTATTTTTTCATACAATCTTATAGGCATATGATTCGAATCGATCTTCCAGAAAATCGATTCAGATCGGGCACCCCTAGAGCGTTGCCTTCAGCTACTCACTTATCGGTATAAAATCCTGCAGAGGTTGGCTATAGATATCCAGTACTTGATTTTAGTTATATTTTCAGTTTAGGAGGCTTGTCAAGGTTAAGCTTGAATCTTTTACACTGTTTTTGGATGTCACAAATGCGTTTTTAATTAATCAAAAAAACAAAACAACAAGTTTCACTAGAAATTGCTTAAAACGAAAGGCCAATATGTCAATTTATTCTTGTATTATGAAGTAGACATCCTGTACTTGATTTTTTAATTTTGTATTCAATTTAGGATGTTTATCAGGGTTTTTGGATTTCGGAAATGCTTTTTGAATTGATAATGATAAAAATAAATTTCACTAAAAATTGCATGTAACAAAATGCAAATAAGTCAATTTGTTTTTTAACATCTGTGTTACTCATAAAAAAGTTTAATCACTCAGACTCAGATAATCCATTTGTGGCTGAAGGTGGGACTCATACAACAAATTGAGTTGCAATGGAAAGCAGTCAAGAGGTTTTTCAGAAAACAAAATAATAACAATTCACATTACATTATTTCATTTATCAATATCATAGCAGAGTTAAGGGCAACCTGACTTTATAGATACAATTGGTTGAATCGGTTTTAAAACCGAATTAGTGCACCCCGACTTCATGTAGTCTTGTCTGCCCTACCCCTAGAGTGTTTCGTAAAGCCGTAGGCACGGAGGGAGAGCAGCCCTCGCCCGCTATAGCAAATCGGAGGCCCCTGAGTGAGCCGTATTGGTTGATGCTGGTCGCCAAAGGCGACAATAGGCTAAGGCTGTGGAGATGAGCATGGGTGCCTGTGATTTGCTACGCAAGGGCGAAGAAGCTGCACTTCCCGCAGTGCCGAAACCGTTGCTGAAGTCACTTTGTGTCAAAATTCCTGTGTAAAAAAGTAAGGCTATAATTTTACAAAGAAAGTATTACTCATACACTATACATTTCCGCAAAGGGGGAAGGGTAGGGAGGGCTTCCCATTGACCTTCCCTCTCCCCCTCCCACGTCGTACGCGAGTACCAGATGTCTATAGTTTAACCTCCTGCAGTACCAAAGTATCGTCTTCGAGTGATGACGATATTTTAACGTGCTGTTATGTTTGTTGCCTGGTCATTTCGGCCATGTAAAAAAGGAAGACGTTATTGGCGTCAACCATATATCGAAAATAATATTAATTGTCTACTTTTTATTGCGGGCCAAGAACTTGTCCAACATGACGAATTTTTTTTATTGATGTATAGAATGTCAAAAAAAACTTACGAAGAGCTTTTGAATTTGTTGACTACAGTATTAACAAAGCAAAATACAAGGTTTAGAGAATGTTCAATTTCTAATACTAAAACTACGTAAATATCTCGCTCCGCCATTTCGTTAGCACGACCGTGCGCGGTAAATGTCGAGCGGCCCCTGGACACGCATCCCGAGACGCGGTAAAACGAAACTATAAACCTAAACGAAACTATAAGCCCGCTCCCGCACATACCGCGCCAATTAGAAGACGCACATTAAAATGGATGCGCTCGGCAAGCTTTCGGTACCGTGTATGCCGAGCAAAACGAATCCGCATTGCTCCCACACTGACAAGTCAAAAAGCAGCTTTAAGTGGTCAGATTAAGTTGTTTACGATCAACTCAACAAATTTTTTTCAATCAACAAATTTAATAATAATAATATAGAATCAACAAATTTTAGTTGCAAGTTGAAATGAACTTCCCTTTATAGTAAATTAAATTTAAAGGAGACAGGCGAATTTGGGCCTAATGTTACGTAAGTGAAATATTTATCAATATTTCACTTGTGTAACAATAAGTTTTTTTGTAGTTAATAATGAAATATTAAGCAGTTTTATCATGGCAAAAGAAATTAAATATTTAATAAGAATAATACTGACTTCCGTTATTTTTATCTTTATACAATG